CATGCCATGTCTCCTCCTCCTCCTTCTCTCCCTCCCTTCCTCTCTCCCTCCCTCCCTCCCTACACCCCTCCCCCCACACCTCCGTCCTCCGTACTCCCTGCCCCCTCGGGCCGGAGAGGCTTGTTTGCCGCGGCGCCTCGCGCCAACGGTCTAATCCTGCCCGCCCCCGCGTGACATCCCGCGGGAGAGAGAGAGAGCGCCGAGCGGGCGCGCTTTTTCGCCCGCCTGGCGCCCTGCTCTGCAGGTGGGAAGAGGAGGACGAGGACGAGGAGGAGGAGGACGGTGAGGATGCATGCTGGGGAAGGTCCCAAAAGACCTGGTGGTCCACGATCTCAGCAGTCCGACTCGCCATTGAGAGGCGACGGGGCTCTGGTCGACTCATCCCCCGAGCCTTCACCCAGGGGAAAAGTCCCTTCTCCGAGGCCGAGAGGGCCCAACACTCGGCACTTGCACGCGAGGGGCGAAGTCGCCCACAACACAAACAACTTTGGGATCATCTCCTCCTCCTCCTCCTCTTCCTCCTCCTCCTCCTCCTCGTCCTCCTCCTCGTCCTCCTCGTCCTCCTCGTCCTCCTCGTCGTCGTCCTCCTCCTCCTCCTCCTCCTCACCCCCTTGGGGCCCGACCAGCTTCCTCTCAGCGCTGGAGCCAAAGTCCGACGCTCGGCCAAGTGCATGCCCTCGTGGGTCCCCAGGGTCAGATGAGGAGGGGGCATTGGGGTGAGGAGGCTCAGGAGGACAACGGCGATTACCAGAGAACCCAGGATGCGTCGACGATGCTGCAATTACGCCTCTGCAGAAATTCCTGATCATTGCGAGAAGCGCTCCCATGAACGTATGGGGGACGCGAGACCATATGCTCGACGACGTCTCGAGCGACAGCCTGGACTTGGAAAACATAATCACCCTCACTACTTGCAGCTCTTGCTCAGTCGTACGCTTCAGCCTAGCCTTTCCGAGGAAAACAAGAACCCCATGTTGAAAAGGGAACTGCCCGCAATCCTTTTGACTACCAGGGGCTCTGAAGACGAATGTGCACGGCGCTAGAGCGAGAACCACAGTGTTAAAGCCAGCCGCCCTTCATCCCTGTGGCTGTTGGGAACTGTAAAGACGAATGCGTGCGACGCTGAAACAATAATATAACTTTGAACACGATTCATCCTTCATCCTTGAGGTTTTGGGACAAACGTGTGTTGCGCGAAAGCGGAAGTCACGTTCTGAAAACCAACCACCTCCAACCTTAGATCAACTGGATACGTTACAGCGCGAACGCACGCAACGCTGAAGCTGTAGCCGCATGTTGAAGAACGCCCGCCTTCCATCTGTAGTTGTCGGGGAAGTGAAACGTCAAGCGCACAGGATGTTAGGAGGTGCAAACGAAACGCCCGGCCCACATCGCCGACGCGTCGTATGGTGCGACGAGGAATATGTTCATGACGAAGACGGGTGCATGCAATAATGACTGAGGAGAGCAAAGGGAGAGGCGAGAGGAGCGAGGGTGGGGGGGGGGGGGGTCGGGAAATTGGAGGATGCTTCGCAGTACAGCGGCTTCTTTTTTTATGGGCAGAAGGAGGAGGAGAGGGATGATGATGCTGCTGATGAGGGGGAGGAGGACGACGACGAGCATGGAGGGCGGCAGTCCGATCGTTGCCGACCTCTGGTGCTGGGAGGCATCCTCCCCCCCCCCTCATGGGGAGGAGAGGAGGAGGAGGAGGAGGAGGAGGAGGAGGAGGAGGAGGAGGAGGAGGAGGAGGAGCAAGAAGGCGGAAGAGGACGGCAAGAGAGGAGGAGGGGGAGAAGGAGGAAGAGGGGGGGGAGAAGACGGGCAAGCGAGGAGGAGGACGAGTAGGAGAAGGAGAAGAACGAGGAGGAGGAGGAAGAGGAGGAGGCGCCCTTTCGGTCCGCTGCCCAGCAGCGAGGAATTCACGATGATGCGTTGCTGAAGCCCAGTCGGCGAGGGGAGAAGGAGGCGGAGGAGGAGGAGGAGGAGGAGAAACACCAGGAAGACCAGCCGTGCAGGTGCCAGCCAGTCTTCTTCCGCCGGCGCCTCGCATGAAACGAGTCACGGCGCGCAATCGTCTCAGGCCCGCCTCGCAGACTCCGAAAGCCATCGTGCATCTGTGAGCACGCAGAACGTGCAGACAGCACGTCGACGCACACCCACAGCCGGCGCTCTCACGCAGCCTCCACTGCGCACGCGAGAGGCGCTTCGTGCCCGCCCACCGCGAGGTGCCATGCTCCGAGGGATGGCCCACGCCCACCACGACCGCCAACGCAGCCGACAGGGCCAGACCGCGACAGGATCGGGCGCGGAATGGCTCGACGCCCTCGCCGAGACCCCGACGGCCAGCTCGTCAGTGACACGCCGACGCTGACGGGTCAACTCTTTCCCCTGCTTGAGGTCCGCCGCCGGTGCCCGGAGAGCCTCGTCGTCCTGCGGGGGCAGATCGCACGGAGGCGCCGTATCATTGCCCAGCGGCGAGCCGTCCTCGTCGTGCAGCTCCTGTCTGGCGCGCCTTCTCGCCTGTGTCCTCGAGCCCATTTCATGCAGTCGAGGGTGTCGGGTGCGCAGCCCGTCCACAGTGACAGCCTCACGAATGGGAAGCTTCTCGGTCCTGGATCGTGGCCTCCACGCTGCCGACGGGAGCCACTCGCCTCGACAACCAGGGCGAGGGTCCTGGCCCTGGGCCTCCTCGAATGCGACTGGGTCGAACTCCTCGCGCGCCCTGGTGCGGTGGGCCTCGGGACGGGCACCGGCGGCGTACCCGCCCTGCGGCCCTCCGCCTTGCCCTGCGCCTTGTCGACGGTGCGTCAGGCATCGGCACCCAGGCTGCCGGCATTGCGGTCAGGAGCTTGTCCTCCTCGTGTCGCCGCGGCGGCCCCGGCGACGCGGGACGCCGTGCGAATGGATCGCGTGCCGCTCGGCTCCGCGGGGCGGGAGGTCGGGAAAGGCTGGCGACGTTGGCGCCTGAGGGCCGGGACAGGGATGGCGTGTCGCCCCGCAGCGTGGCGGGCCAGACCCAGCGGAACGCCACGCCAATCCAACGTTCCCGTCCGCAAGGGAAGAGGCATCTGCATAAGCATAAACTTTCGAAGGTCCGCACGGGTTTCTTGGGACGGTGGTGGGCAACCTCGGCGGCGCCTCTGGTGCCACCCCTGGCGTGCTCCGCGCGTGCCCGCGCGGAGGATGAGGAGGCCGGAAGAGGAGGGAGGACAAGGCCGAGCACGGCGACATCAAAATTAAAAACCGGCCGGGCCGACAACGGAACCGAAACCGACCAGCATCGACGGGCCGAAAGCAGCCTAGAAGGGCGCAGCGACGCAGCAACGACACAATGACCGACCACACCGAAACGACTGAACACAATCGACTGCGACGCAACCGCACCGACCGAACCGTGAACACTCTCTCAGGAAGGATGATGATAAGGAGGAGGATGAGGAGGAGATGGAGGAGGAGGAGGAGGAGGAGGAGAAGGAGAAGGAATGGAGGATGGGAGGAAGGGAGGGGGGAGGACGAGGAAGGAGGAGGGATGAGGGAGGAAAAGGTGAAGGTGGATGAGGAGGAGGAGGAAGAGGAGGAGGGGAAGGAGCAAGGAGGGAGAGGCATGGGGGAAGGAAGGGAGGGAAGAAGGGAGAAAGGGAGGGGGGAGGCGGGAGGAAGGAGGAGGAGGAGGGGGGAGGAGGAAGGAGGAGGAGGAGGTGGACGACGAGGAGGAGGAGGATCAAGGAGGAGGAGAAGAAGGAGGAAGAAGATGAGGAACAAGGAGGAAGAGGAAGCAGGAAGACGGGATGAGGGAAGGGAGGGGGAACAGAGGAAGGAAAAGGATGAGGATGAGGAAGGAGGAGGAGGAGGAGAAGCCAGCAGGAGGAGGAGCAGGAGGAAGAGGAGGAGGAATGAGGAAGGAGGAGCATGATGGAGGAAGGAGGCGACGGAGGAGGAGGAAAAAGAATAGAGGAATGGAGGAGGAGGAGGAGGAATGGAGGAGGAGGAGGAGGAGGAGGAGGAGGACGAGGAGGAGGAGGAGGAGGAGTAGAAGGAGGAAGAGGAGGAAGAGGGCGGAGGAGAAGGAGGAGGAAGATGATTATGATGATGATGATGATGAGGAGGAGGAGGAGGAGGCGGAGGAGGGGGGCAAGCTAGATGCGCTCGCGTCATATCTGACGTACAACTCCTCCCTCCCAGCCCTTACCATGGCGTAGATATCCTCTCTATTCGTTCAGTCGGGTGTCGAGCAGGGCAATGCTCGCGAGAGGGTACGCAATGGATGGTAGAGCACGGAATGGCGTGGCGTTGACGAGCACGGCAGAGCGTAGCATGCCAGAGCTTCACACAAGGCGGGGCTCACGGAGAACACCCGCTGGCTCTGCTTTCATCATCGCCGTTTCAAAACAGAAATGGGGCTCCTGCATAATACCTCCTGGAAACGACGATGCCCCAAAGTGGGTGGGGGGCTTCTGCGGCCGAGAAAATCAACGAATCGACACCAAACGTATAATCACTTCCGATGGTTTCTTTCGGAGGGGGCATTTTCTAGATCAAGGGGCCTATTCGGAAGGACCGACACCGCCCGCGCTGCAGCGGGAGCACGATTTGGAACAACCAGAAGCGCAGAATTGGGGCCAGCGCTTCCGCGGAACAGCACTTTGACACAGCAGCCGAAGCGACACCCCAACTCCTGTGAATCCTGTGCGGACGAGAAACAATACGATCTAGGGGGCGGGCACCTCCAGATGTCATCAACGGAAAGAGGAGAGTAGTATTCATATTGTGTAGGTGTGAAAAAAGAGGAGGAGAGAGGAGGACGAGGAGGAGGAGGAAGAGGAGGAGGAGGAG